ATATACATTTAAACGTTGAAAATGAGCGATCATCGAATGTGAAAAAATAGGTATCTCAACCGGGATTCGAACCCGAGACTGTCTATGTGTCTTAAACAACTATTGTTATGTTGGGAATTAAAATCCAATTAAGGGAAAGAAACAATATTGCGAGAGAACGAAATAATATTTTGAGGGAACGAAATAATATTTCGAAATGATTCCGTTCCCTCGAAATATTATTTTATTCCATGAATATATTATTTCGTTCCCTCAAAATAGTTTAATATTTTTTTTGTAACCATGACCATTTAGGGGCTCCGTATAATACTACAGGCCCGTAGCGTGGGGGGGGGGTTAATGGGGTTACGACGAACCGCCCAAAAACTGGAGATGGTCCACATTTAAAAACAACAAAAATTGATATTCGTAGATATATTCACAATGTTTTTCAGAGTATCGGAGATCATACAAGCCAAAGGTTCCACTTTCCACTGAAATGAACCTCCCGCAAATTAAGTCACGCTACGGGTCTGTACTATACACTTATTTAATGGGAAACAGCGTCGACGACAAATTGCAGGACCTCCCAATAAATAATAAAAGCATGATAGTGAAACAATCTACACTTGGACGAGAGTAGCTCAGACACAGAGAGAAGGATGGGAGTAGGGCACCTTGTCGGGGAGATCTTCCTCCCTCCTGTCTGGGAGGAAAACCACAATTTGTCGAAGAGAATGTTAACTTATAAGTTCTTTATTCTTTTAATGACCAAGGAATGTAATTTCATTGTTGTAACTGATGATTGTCGATTTTTTTTCTTTTATTTCTTGATTTCAACCATTCTGGAGCAACAGCCTATACTGGTAGATATACTATCAGGTCCATTAAGTCATATACAGCAACCTGCAACTTGCTCAATGTAAAAACAAAAACACATCAGTTTCAGCGTTACGTCTTGAGACCTAAGGTGAGAGGGGAGCATCTTCAAAGGTTGTGGAATCAAGTTGAACTTAGAAGTAAAAACTACACAGAATCAGCGCGTAGTCAAGAAATGGGGGTGGGGGGAATGGCCAACACCTAAATTTTTAGCGCCCCACCTCCTGTAAAAGTCAAAGTGAAAAAATAACAAATGAACAATATTCACTTCTTTAAACTTATATAGGCCCTATGCCTAATACAACCTCAACTAAATACATATTCACTTTCATGAGTGATCAACTGGCCCCAAAACCTAGACTTGGAAATAACCGGAATGTTGTCCGAGGAGAGTTGGTTTTGTATACTCAACTGCTCTATATGGTATTCCCGAGATCTTTTAATTTATAGATATTTCATGATTTTGAATCATGTATCTAAATAAACCATATTCCAATCTACAAGATGTGCCCGGGATAATCTCTTAATCGTGCCAGTATATTCCCATCCTCCTAGGACAGGGTGGTTGCATACGTTGCTTTTTGCACAAAAATCACTTAAGACTAGTATTTTTTTTTTTCATAATTAACAAAAATGTTGTGTTTTCAAATACTGTCAAAGTAAGACCCTTTGAAACCGTTTGGAAGCGCAGGCTGTTATATCCCGGGCCGCCAAGAGGGAAAACCGTCACACGGGCAAGGGTTGGTATGGGCCTCCAGCAACGAAGCCCAAGGCGCTATTTTCTTTTTTTTTATTTGGTGGGGATGGGTGGGGGCTCTTAATCTGGAAGGGCCCATTATTAGGGGGACCCATGCCATTATTGAGGGCTCAAAATAGTAATTATTATTTTGGAAAAAAAATATTGAAAAAAGAATGATACCTGCAACTTCTATGGGCTTCCTGGTAAGCTTGGGCCCCGGGAATCTTCCCCATGCCCTCTCTCGGTGGCACTGGTCAAGGGCGTCGATCCGTGGTTAAACGTTGGGGGGGGGGGAGACGAAATGAAAAATAAAGCCTCCGGACCAGGGGGCCGAAGCACCCGGAAGCTCTGACGCCTTTTAATTGATTTTAAGCGATGCAATTAACATTTATTTCCATACGAAATTTTCAAAATATCCAGTGACGGATCCAGTAATTTAAGATAGAGCTGGGCCCAAAGAGGGACTTTTGCAGATGGAGAATGTAGACCACCTCAGCCCCACCGATCGCGCCCATGGCACTGGTTACATCCTTACTTTATACCCAGTCTCAACCTTGGTGCATGCTGAAGTTATATTATTGAGTTGAGTATTTTCTCACCTGCATTTTTACAATTTTGTTGCAAAATCATTATTTTATCTACTTAAAATTTAACGATAAGAAAGTATAATACATACTCCAAGTATTGGAATACACGCCATCGTGTTGGGATTCAATATTTCGACATTAATTATGTCGTCATCAGGAATGATTTAAAAAATTTAACGAAGTCAACAAGTCAAATTATGACACGTAAAAAGTGCTATATCAGGATACCCCTGAATTTGTTCATCTCACCCAGCCTCACCCATGTCATATTTTAAATCTGAGAACGCCATTTCAGGCATTTAAAGTTGCTCCATCCTTAATATTTTTTACGCCTCACCCCTAGCCATGGTGGGGCTGAGGCGACTCCATGACTGCTGGAACTCAAAAGATATGTTACGGAGAATAGGCCTACTGTATTTTAGTTACATTTTTTATCTGAATAGGAGGATAGTTTTTATGTGGTCTAATCCTACTCGGTGTAAGTTCTGCATCTTCGGAATATTTCCTACATAGCGTTTATTGTATAAGCTGCAGTTGTCTCAACCAGGTTAACATTATCCACTTCCACAGTAATGTTTGGAAACCGTCTACCAGATCACGGTACAGTATACGCATACTTTAAATATCAACCTTTAGATTTGTTTATCCGTCCCCATGGAAATGTTGTAAGTGTTTGATGCGTTGCTGTTTACTCGACATCGAGTTTGTTAGATGTTTCTGTTGACATTTTGATAACTATTTTAGATAATATTTATAGAATATAAACCGTATGGTTTGTGAGTAAAAGCACAGTCACTTTAGCCACCAAGACTAACGGTTGATTCAAAAATTCATAAAAATTTCAATTTCACCCTAATCGAGTGCAATCATGGATAATATGGACGAACACGAGGAAAATGAGAATGTAGAGCTTAGTACTGTTTCAATTCCTGGAACAGTAGAAGAAGAGAATAAAGTCGTAAATGACACGGCAAAATCCACCACAACTTTAGTCGACAGCGACGTAGAAGGAGGTGAAAGCGATGTCCCCAAATCGTGGATTGCAACTCATAGCTTAGCAATCGGGATTGGTGTAACATTTGTACTTGTTGTTGTCATCACTACAGTTTTGTGTGTAGTGTTGATACCAGGTGATGATTCTGACGAATTAATTACCGGTAAGTCCATCCGTTTGAATAATCTCAACTCGCGTCTTTTTCTTAAACTACACATTCACGTTAAACCATTTTACTATATTTTTCCATCACGAGCAACACCTTTCTGTTGTCAATGTCAAGAATGTCAATTTTAATATTGGTTAATAAATAAAACAGACACAGCAGCAGGAAGCAACATTAATAATAATAATAATAATAATGACAATAATAATGGTAATGATGATGCAGTCATTAAAACAACAGTAACAATATTTTAAAAAAGTAACACTTCAAACCTATACTATGGGCTTAAAAATGTAATGCTTTTGCCTTGTTTTAGTTTTCTTCTTTTTTTTAAATTAATGGAGAATTGTACCTATTATTAGTAGGTCATGCTAGTACAATTCTCCATTATCGTAACACTGCAGGTCTTATACAATCCTTATACAATTTCTTGTAGTCGATGTTTCAAAATGGTGTTATCGTTGGGGAGGAAAAATATTTATATGTATTTTCTATATATACAAAATCAATTAAATAAGCCTTTGAAACCCTTAAATTGTCATATTTTTCGGGGCTTCTTTTGAGAGATTCTGAGCGACGCCCGACCAGGCCCACTATTTTTCGTCGGGGACATGGGACGCCCCGTCGGGGAAATCCTAGTGCCACCGCTGTCGTTAACCGAACTAAAGTACATTGTTAATCAAGTTACCTGTAATGACAATGTTTCATTTTATCCAGATGTGTTAAGCTAAATTTAAATGTTGTCTTAAATGTGTTTCTTTTCTGTTCATTCTGGAATTGTCGGGAATCATGAAGATTGCCCTTCTACGAAAATGATATTAAAAGATTATTCTTGCTTTTTTTGCTTTCGAGTTTTCATTTATTTTTTACTATTTTAAATTTTATCTTATAAAATAAAGTCTTTTTCAACATTTATTGTTTAACAGAATTGGTGACGATAAATTCAACACTGCCAGAAGGAGTGACTGATATACAAAACACAACTACGGTTACAAATGAACATAAAAGCGAGACTTCAGTGGAAAGTACATCACAGGCTACTACTGAAGGAGTGACTCAGACAAGTAAAGGAGTTACAAAATCAACTAGGCCTACATTACCGACTGATGTGGTTCAAACTACAAGTCAAAGAGCTATTACACCCGACACAAATACTTTTCAACCCACAGCCAGAATTACGACAATGAGTAATCGAGTTACTACACCACCAAATAGGCCTACATCACCGACTGATGTGGTTCAAACTACAAGTCAAAGAGATATTACACCCGACAAAAGTACTTCGCAAACCACAGCCAGAATTACGACAATGAGTAATGGAGTTACTACACCATCAAATAGGCCTACATCATCGACGGATGTGGTTCAAACTACAAGTCAAAGAGCTATTACACCCGACACAAGTACTTCACAAACCACAGCCAGAATTACGACAGCGAGTAATCGAGTTACTACACCATTGATAAGTAGGCCTACATCTGACGCCACAAATGACATGCAGACTAGTACAAAAGAAGTGACTACACCCATCACAAATAGCACGACTGAGGTGCAGTCAACTAGTGATGAATCGCCAACCACAGGTGACTTGAGCACCGTAACGGAGTCGACAGATCACACATCATCTGTGCCAACAACTACAGCTGTAGATTCAACCACAGGTGACTTGAGCACCGTAACTTGGTCGACAGATCTCACACCGTCGCCCTAGTCTGTGAAAGTCATTTGGGTTTTCAACTTAATACGAATAAGCCTGCCTAAAATAGCATACTGCAGAACATCTTGTATAATGGGCCACCATTAGTCCTAACTTGACTATAAGGTCTATTTTGACTGTAGACTTCCGTATTCTGATTTCTCCTGATTTAATTTTGTTAACTTCATATAGAATATTATATCAGTGTTGATGTCATGGTCGTATTTAATGGGCTGTTGTTTTAAATTAAAAGACCTAAAATACATTATACATACAATAATCACTGGATAATTTAGAATACAGCCAAAAGACCACTGAGAGAACACTGATGTACTACCGGCTGCTTATACCAGGCCTACAAGAGGTGGATCAGCGCATGTGATGATGATGATTTTGAATTATTATAAAATGCAAATAAGCTGTGGTTGAAATGAATTGAATTGAAAAAGTATAAAATTTATTATTTTTATTTATTATTATTATTATTATTTTTTAAATAATATTTAATATATATTTAGGTCAGTCGACTGAACTTATATGAGCCATATTAAGTCAATGGCGTTTAGGCTCCTTTTATATATATTTTTTTCTTTTTGCTGAATCTGAATTCATCTGAATTAAAAAGTGATATGATTGTTTTATATCAAAGAAAAACATTACTCGCCATATTATGTACATTTAACTAATCTTTAAAAAAATATCATAATTAAGTTTTTCAATTGTTATATATATATATGTATATATATATATATATGTATATATATATATATTTATATATATATATATTATGATTTATATATGGTATGTACATTATGTACGTTTTTGTATGTACGGTATGTATGCAATCATGTTATTTTTAAAGTACGTGATTATAATGTGTGCGTTCTGCTTGAAGTGGTGTGAATTATATTTAAATAGATGCAAGATATTTTCAAGATGTTTTAACATAATATTTTAGGGCCTATGTAGTTTAGTATTCAAACTGATTAGCAGCTGCTAGATGGTTTATCGTTTAATATCGTTGAAACAAAATAAGCAACTAAATGTTGTAATAGACGTTACTTCTTTTCGATTGTTGCCAGAACTTGCGTACTATCACTTCAGATAACTGATCTCTACTATAATAGCTAATATAGTATTAGTAGAGATCAGTGCTTCAGATTCAAGAAGTGTACATGTGCGTTGTGCGTCTGTGCACACTTATAAAGAGTCCGTGCCGGCATGAGGAGTTCGCCATAGTGTTAAAAGATAATATTTCCACTCGCTGCACGGAAGTGTCCCCTAAATAGGGGTGTCCCACTTTAAAAGAGGAGAGGGGGGTGGTTACTATGGTTTTTTTCGCTTCTTAGATTTAAATTACTATTGCAAGCAATGAAGCAGTCTTCATGTGGTTATTTATGTTTATATTAATGAGTTAAGATATAGGCTTATGAACATACAATAATGATATTAACAATAATAATAATATTATTATTATTAAGAGTATATACAAACTGTCATTTTGTTGTTTATTTCTTTCATTAACTTGCCTAGCCTGACGAGTCGACTTTAGAACTCTCTTCCTTTTTCTATTTTTCCTCACATCTCCTGACAATGACAGCTTCAAAACTGCTGTTAAATCGTTTCTCATGCAACAGTTTTAATAATTTATTTTAAAATCACTGTTTCATTGAATTAATCTAATTATTTATTTGTTTATTCATCTTTTCCCCTTTTCTTCCCAGTCTCGTGTTTCGTTCTCTTTCTGTGACTTGGCCGCATTTCATCATGATGGCAACGTCAGTCCTGTATCCAGATAGTAGAAAAAAAAATATTTTAAAATCATCTTACCAGGACTGGCACCATAAGAGCTCGGTGGGGAGAAAAGAAATCCTCGGGAAAATCGTGGTGACACTATTGTAATTGACAGAAAATATTATATCGTTTGGGTATTTTATTGAGTTCAGAAGGCACCATCGATGTTTTGTAACGAGGTTTATTGCTGCAACTACGGTATAGTGGGCCTAATGGAATCCTAACTACACATTAAGCATTGCACGAATATTATGAAGACTTCGTATTAATTTATTTTTGTATGGTAAAATGGTAAAAAGTGTATAAATCAGCAAAGACCTAGATATCAGAGTTAAACAGGCGGAAAGCTATTTGACCACAGATGCTTTTATAAGCATAGACATATATAATTCTGTAGATTGAGACATAAATTTATTGATAAAAACTGTCGCTGCGGCGACAGACCTTTCATATCCAACAAAATATCACAGATCATCATCGATTTGTACATTGGTCTGTACTTTACCTTGTGTTGCAATTTAATTTTAAATAATGCTGTCGAACTCAGATAAATGATGGTTATATAAACATTGACTCCCGGTTTACAGATATGATTATGTTCTATCTTACATTCTATTTCGTACGTACCTTGGTCTATTGTTCTGTTGTCTTTTCATGTTAAGCACAAGACTTTGGTATTTATGCTCTATAAATAACTAAACTCACAGCCTTACAGGCAAACAATCCAGTCGAGCAAACTATGAACATTTCAGTACACTGATAGACAAGGTTATCGGCACAGTCGACCGTGTACCGATAAGTCGTGACGTGCGCTAATCTAAAGGACATAACTGCCTATGTATACTATCAGTGGTGTGTCTAAAGAGTGCCACCCCATCCCAAAAAAGCTCTTCCCCTTCTCCATCCACTAGTCTCCCTCCCTATCCCGTAGCACCCTCCCTCCCCCATGTTCAAAGCAAAAAAAACGTTCATGTAGTTGAAAGTCACCTTATTTGCGAGATAGCGTCCCTCACTTAATCATCAATCCCCACTTCACTTTCGCTCCACCCCACCAGCTCCCATCAACCCTCCCTCCCTCCGATTTCAAGATACACCACTGTCTGCTATGTACGTTTGTGTGTGTATCCAGTTGTATGCTATAACATTTTTTTTTTTCAACAAAAACGGCTAAAATAAATGATGATATTTAAAATAAATGAAGTGATGTTACGTCAATATTGATAGCTGAACACTAACATTATAATAGGCAAAAACTGCCTTAAGTCTGGGGTCGATAGTTACATTAAGAGCTAAAAATAATTATTTTGAATGTACCACTTTTCAAGCTCTTATAAATAAAGTTGATACTTACCAAGTGATTTAGCCCTGTAGTTAGAGTACAATTAAATTATCACCCAGATTGCATTTCGACGATTGACCGTAATTTCAATCAATTGTTTTTCACCTGACCAATAGGCATACTCTTTCAGGTAGGTCTTTATAATTTTTTAAGTAGGCCTACCAGATAGTTTCCAACACTTCAATGTAAACGATACACCTCACATTAGTTGGCGCCACCTATAATATTGCAATGCACAGGTGTAATTATGCACAAATTTTATTTGAGATGAGGACGTGGAAACTATTACCCTAGTAGCCAGACCATGTTTTGTATGCACTATGAGGTCCAGAAAATTTGACTTCAGAAATTGGTTTAGGGTGGTCCAAGAATCATTTTTGGCTTGGTAACACATTTTCAAAACGTGGTAAAAGGTCAGGGCCAAAGGTCATAGCTATAGGGTCGTCATATCTCCGCAACCACTGGTGGTAGAGAGTAAATTTTTGCCTATTTGTTTAGAGCATTCATGTTTCTATTTGGTCTAATAGAACATTTTGCTAAAAAATGAACGGAAGTGCTGTTTCTAACCTTTGACACGTTTCAAGGTCATAGCAATAGGGTCATTATATCTCCACAACCACTGGTGGTAAAGAGTTAATTGTGGTGTCAATATGTTTGGAATTAATTTTAAAAATTAATGTTTCTATTTGGTCTAATAAAAAAGTTTGCTAGAAAGTAACCGGAAATGCTGTTTTTGACATTTGACATGTTTCAATTGTCTTAGTTATTGAGTCCTTATTATCTCCACAACCACTGGAGGTAGAGAGTTAATTTCTATTTGCTCTAATGGAATATTTTACTAAAATACGACCGGAAAAGCCGTTTCTGACCTTCGACATGTTTGAAGGTCATAGCAACAGAATCTTCATACCTCCACAACCACTGGTGGTGGAGAGTTAATTTTGGCACCAAAAAGTGACCGGAGATGCTGTTCTGACCTTTGATATGTTTTAATGCATATGCATATCCCTACACATACTAGCTGTTGAGACTTGATAGTGATCGCAAAATATTCATTAACACAATGTTTCTGTTTATTGGATTGGACCATTTTTTTAAACAAATATGCCAATACTGATCATTGACCCACGTCGCAAGGTTTAGTTCTGTTAAATTTTGTCAGTAGATAATTTTATTTACAAGAAATATAATAAATCAAATCAAGTAGGTCTAATTGAATGTATGATACAAAAGCGACCTGAAGTGTACCTCCAACTAAGAGTTCAGTTGATTTTTATCTCTGTAACTACTATATATATATATATATATACATAGTCAAGTTTCTGCTATGAACACAAATGT